GTCGGGAAGTTGCCATTCATGCAGCTCAGAGTCACGTCCACCTCACTCCACAGTTCACACTTTAACCATCAAATGATAAGCCTCCCATCACTGAGTGTCTAGAGTGTCCACAGGTTGTTATAGGCATCATGAAAGAAGGAATTCTTTTGTGGCCTCTAACTTTGACCTTTCTACTACTTAACCAAAGGGGTAGCAGTGAGCTCTAGATTAGCTTCACGCTCCTGCAGCCAGGTGTACAAAGACAACCCCCCATCAACAAAACACTGTGGGGCTTTTATATGGCGCACCACAGACAACACTGGGCCGGATCATTCGTTCCCTGAAGAAATCTTTATAATATCATACTTTATAATACATACTTTTAACTGACAGTGTAATGCCGTTCATTTAATTTGCTCCAACAAGAGTGATTCAGGACCTACTATGTGCTAGATATTATATGAATATGCGTATTCATATAAGGCATTGTACATATTCATACAATGAGTGGGTCCCTGGGTCCCAAGGCGCTCTCAGTCTACTGGGGAGAATGTATAATTGTGGTGCATTATAATGAGAATTGTCATAAAAGTGCAAAGTCCAAGAAAGCCTAGGATTATTCTGTCTGGAAGAATCTAAAGAGGCCCAGCATTTAAACGGGATGTGTAATTTGAGCTGGGTCCAGAAGAGTGAGCAGAAGCTCACAAAGCCACAAGAGGACAAGAAAGAGAATCCAAAGGGTAAATAATGTAGAGAGGCTTGGCCCACTGCAGATGCCAGCAGGCGCCAGCCAGCACCTACGTGGGTAGATGGTAGCATATGAGCTGGGGAAGGGAAGTTGGGTCAGATCCTGAGGGTCTTGAGCACCATCGGTACACAGGACAATGGTGAGCCATTAAAAGTTTCTGAGCAGAGGAGCGGAGCAATTAGAAGCCTCTCCTGACAAGGAAAGATCACTCTGGACACTGTATGGCCAGCAGATTAATAGGTATCTGGGTCTGGGTAGATTTTATGACCCTGAATATTTAACGAAATGAATTTCCTAAACATGGAAGGTATGATACATTTTAATGCATTTCTGTCTCTCTCTCTCTCTCTCTCTATGGCAACTAATCTTAATTATCTCAGAATTCGGAGTTCAAGAAGCTATCTCACCTGTTTATCTTCAGAGGAAACAAGTCAAGGGTTTACTCTGAGTATTAAATGTGCATTTTTAGAGGGTGAAGTCTTAATTAAATAGCAGCAAAATCCAGATGCAGATTACTGAAAGTGTCACTACGTGGAATGATAGGGGGAAAAATATTTTTGAAGTCACCATGTTGAAGCATTGTTATTAAAAGAACAGAATATTCCTGTTACAAGCCAACTCATTGTACCCCGCTGTACAATGCCACAGCCCAGGTGTCTTACAAACAATAGAAATTTATTTCTCACAGTCTGGGAGCTGGAAGTCCAAGATCAAGCTGCTGGATAGTTGAGTGAGGGCCCTTTTCCAAGTCTCGAACTTCTTGTACCCTCACAGGGCAGAAGGGGTTGGGAGCTCTCTGAGGCCTCCGTGATGAGGCATTAATCCCATTCGTTAGCCTTTACCCTCATGACCTAATCACCTCCCAAAGTCCTCACCTCCTGATACCATCACATTGGTCTTTAAGATTCAACCACAGCATGGGTTCCATTTACGGCATGTAAATTCATGTCCCTCAGGTTCTCAGAGCACCTTCCCCATTACAAAGAAAGTCTCTGGAGGAAATATGATCCAGTCTACTCCCTTGTCCCTCCACACCTGCCACCTCCCACCACCTCCCCATCCCCCACCACATATATGGGCACACACCCAATACCCAGCACCAGTAACCCAATTGGGTAACCCAAGTCTGCCATCGTGGTTTAGCTGACACCAAAAGTTTAAACAGAGTCATCCCCAAAGCACAAAAACTGGGGTAACCATCCTGGACAGCAGTAAGTGGAAAAGGAAGCAATCTCAGTAGGATCAAACAAAAGGGGTGGACCCAGGACCATATATAACAGCCTATGCAGTCAGTTGGTCATGTATTCGTTCAGAGGTCAGCTGGTCTATGCCCAGCTCTGGCCCAGGCCCTGGGAATGTTGAGAAATCAGAAACAGCCCCTCTCCTCAAGAAACATCTATCTTTTTTGATGCTTCCTGCAATTCCATAACTGCTTAAGTTGTTCAAAAGAGGAAAGTGAGGTTCAGAGATACTAATGCACTTTCAAGACCAAGAACACCATGTGGGGGGAGATTGGGAATAAGACCAGGGGAGAGGTGAGCACTGAGCCACTGACTCGGAGCACAAGCTCAGGAGAGCATGTGTCATAAAAGAAGTCCCCAAATCTAGGGGCCAAATTTCCACACAGGGACCCCAGGTGAGGGGGCAGACCACTGCCTCGGCAGGAAGCAATGCAAACCATTATGTTCCCCCAAAGACCATCTTAGCACTAAAAGCACATGTGTGTGCAATACACACATGCACACGCACATACAAAAGGACTGACTTCCTAACCAGAGTCAAGATATTTAGGAAGCAATGCATACAGTGGTAAAAAGTGTGCAGGCTCCGGAGACACAAAGGCCTGGGTTCAAATCCCAGCTCTGCTGCTTAACAACTGGGCAAGCTGCTAAACCCTGCCATGTGTTAATAATCCTCATCTCAGGGGGCTGCTGTGGGAATTATATAAGGGAGAATGTATGGAATGTGCCAGCATAGTGCCTGGCACTCAGTGACAATCATACAAGTGAGCTGTGACACTTCAAACTCAATAAACCCCCAAATGAAAACATTATCTGTTCTCACCAGCGGGTTCCTTCTGCACCTGGATTCTCTATCTGCACGATTTCCCCCCACTCGCCCAAATCAGGAGCCGCTCTGGGCCCCATTTCCCACAGGGTCACCCTTCGCCTGCCAGCCACCTTCATCATCCCAGCTAACATGGCTGCTATGATTCTGTGTGCACAGGTACTAAGCGAAGCACTCTAGAAGATCTTTAATTGGGCAGAGAAACCCTTATGAGGAAGGTACCATCATTGTCTCCGTGTTGCCTTTGAGGAAATTGAGACTTGAGGGAAGAAACCTGCCCAAGGGGCGCCTAGGTGGTGCAGTCGGTTAAGCCGCGGACTCTGGCTCAGGCCATGGTCTCAGGGTTGTGGGACCGAGCCCGGCTCAGCAGGGAGACTGCTTCCTCTCTCTTCTCCTCCCCCGGCTCATGCACACTCTCTCTCTCTAAGATAAATAAATCTTAAAAAAAGAAGAAAAGAAAAGAAAAAGAAACTTGCCCAAAGTCACACAGCTATTGAGTGAGAGAGCTCAAATTTTATACACAGTCTCATTCTGAAGCCCAGATGCTTAAACACTCCCCTGTATGTATTGCCTCTTCACCGACCAGTCGCCACCTAAGTCCTGTGGCTTCTCCGTGTTTGTTCTTCTGGGATCTACTCCATCACCGGCCTGCAGGTGCAGCCTGCTCTGCTAAGACACAGGGAGCACTGTGGGCTTTGGGAGGGAGCACTGTGGGCTTTGGGAAAGGAGCATCGTGGGCTTCGGAAGGTGCTATGGGCCACAGTGGGAGGCTCTGAATGCCAGGCCAATGCGGGGTTTGGCCAACAAGGGGTCTCTGAGCCTGAGAAAGGGTGTTGCTCAGCTGGGAGCCACCCCGGGAAGGGGGGGGGTGGGAGAAGCAGGTGGTACTGGGGCCAGGGAGGAGCCGAGCCCATCAGTCTAGGTGTGAGGCACAGAGGGCCTGAAGCGAGGGGGTTGGGGTGGGAATGAAAAGGCTGCATGCGACAGACATTACCTCACCAGGCACAAATACTCCCGAGGCTGGAACTTGGTTTAATAATTCTGTTACTAGGGCAACAGCAAAAGAATCTCTCTCAGAGGGAACCCAGCGTGGCCCGTTTCTGCACAGAAGCGTGGCAGCTGTAGGCTGGGAGAGCAGGGGTGAAGGCGAGTGGCCAGATGACACAGCAGGACGCACGCACCAGGGTTTTCTCAGAGGCATTTTCCTGACCTTTCATCCTCTCTGGCTTGGGGAGTGGAGAGAACTTTGTCTGAAGCAAGCTCTCCAGGAAGGTAGATAGCATGCTCCGTGAAATGGGGACTACTTGCACCCTGCGACAGGTTAGTGATCCTGCCCCTGACACTTGGGACACTGGGAGTCTCGTGCAGAAGAGCTCAGACTGAGAGTCTGCCTGGCGACAGGAACAAAAGCATTTATCACAATGTTAACCCGTCGCTCTGCTATCTGCTTTCCCCCAACTGGGTATCACTGAGACCATGGCCAGACCATAGACGTAACTTCTTCAGTCTGCCCAGGAAGTGAAACGCTGGGAAGACCCGGCTGTGGGAGCGGGTTCGTGGGCTCTGATGAGAAGTATGGACGCTCCTCGCAAGGCCCATGGTCGAGTCAGCTTTCTTCCCTGGAGCTCCCTGGGTCTCCCCCATTCAGCCTGGGAATATCACGATGGCACATCCGTATCACTCCATGTCCCTCTGACAGCCGGCCCTTCCAAAACACTAAGAGCCTTTCAAAGATGCTAGGAACACTTTGAGACTTAGAGATCTTCTCACCAGGCTCTCTCAGGATGAACGGTCTCCTCCATTTCTACGCCAAATGCCAAGATGGGCGCCTCACCATGGCACCCAGTGGGGAAACCTCTCCCAATGCCCGAGGCACTTGTGCTCCAAGTTTCTACTTCTCACAGAACATATTTTCCTGAAAATCTATCCACAAAGAATGCTGAAGGAGAGACAGGACTCAATTTCCTTCGGTCTTCCTCCTAACCTCCCAGAGCCTCTGAGAGATACGAATTCTGAGAGACCGCCAAAGCTTCCACTGCTTTAGAATTTCAGTGTCGAAGATTGCTCCCAAGGGCAGACCAGGGGTAGGGTAGCCATGCTGGATTATAGAGACATTTCCACTAGAGTGGTTATGCACCATCTGCGGCTTTGATAAGTATGAAATGCCCAGTGGTCTGGCCAATGGCTATAGCATGTTCCAGATTACCTTGGAAGGAATTCTCCTTACAGAAGTGGCTACACAGGGAATCTGAGTCACCTGAGGCATCGACGAGTCAACGGTTGCTGGCTTTGCCACTCATTCTTTGAGTGAGCTTAGGAAAGTTGTTTTTCCTTTTAGCTTCCTTGCCTGCAAAAGGAAGAAAATTATACAAAACAATATCAAAGGTGAATGTAAGACTTTAAAGCTGAGAAGTGTTGAAGGCTTCTGAAAGGCGAGGAACCCCAAAGTGTAAATAGGTCACATAGCAACGGTGGTTTGATCTGGTCTGAAGTTAATGGACCATTTAGTGCCTAGGAGGGGACAATTCATTCCATGGAGCCTGTAAAAACAATAATGAGCATTTTGAGGCATTTGCATCTGTGGTGGGGGTATCGCTTAGTAACTAAGAGCGTGCCCTCAGGAGTAAAACTTTTGCCAAATCCTACCTTCATCACCCATCAGCTCTGTGACCTTGGACAAACTGGCACCTGTTAGAGTTTCTTTTCCTTCATTTATAAGATGGGGTCAAGCCACACGACTCATGACGTTGCTGGGAGGATCACATGCCTGACAGGCTGTATAGTAAACGGCAGACGCTGTGCTGTATTAAATCACTTTAGAACAACCCTGGTAAGGCAAGATTCGAATTCCCTATTTTATCAAAAAGGAGACGTGTCCATAGAAGCTGAAGTGCTTGCCCAAGGTCACTCAGTGAGGAGGCTTCTCCTTCTGAAGCTCTTACAACACCACAGTCGTCTCTTCCAAGGTGAAAGAGAGTCTGTGTTCTCCTCCCAAATCAATGGGCTCGGGCAAAGTCACAGTGCGAATTTCAGGCATCATGACCAGTCCACAGAAGCCTAGCCGTGGGCAAGAGTATATAGGTTTGTTAGAAGCTGAGAATGTGATCCAATTCCCCCAAAATGGTATGCCATTTCAAGACTTCCGTTGGGTTCCTCTGGAGAATGAGTGCTGCAGAAATGTATCATGTGGAGAAAGCCTGAAAACAAAGGCATCCCTGGGGAACACGGTCACATTCCTGGCCTGCACTCTGTAAGGGTCCAATCTCCTGAGCAGGGCTCAGGCAGCCTGAATCTCTGTCCCTAGTGCTGGGGCCTAAGGCTCCAAGCATCTGTCCCCCGCTGCACAGGCGGGGTCTTGATGGAACTTTACATTGTGGGGGGGACATGGAGGCGTGGCTCAGAGCGCATCCTGCCTTGTTTTATAGAAAGGAAATCAAGGCCCTGGGAGCGACAGAAACAGAGTGCCTAGGTCGTGTGCACTTTGCTCTACCTGACCTTGCCCCTTCCTCTTCTAACATCAGGGACTTCTGGGTCATGAGAGGCTGTGGGAAGCACACTGACCCTCAAAAGTGGGGAAGGCAGTGACTCTGTCAGATACAGTTAAAAAGAGGAGCCGGCCCAGACCAGCCCCCCAGCTAGTGAATTTGAACCTGATAACCAGGTGCTCCACAGTGTGCTCACCTGATACCCACCTGTACTATGGAAGGATGCCCCACCCCAACCCGGTGGAGGTAGGGCAGAGGTGGGCTCATCAAACAGCTGTAAACACTAAGGGCAACCCAGCTGCTGCCGGAACTGCATGAGCGGCTCACTGGGGAGAGCAAATTCTGTTTCTGCAGCCACCTGACCAAGTGGGGCCACATGGTGTAAGCAGAAGGAATAGGAAGGCTCTCCTCTCTCCCTCCCCCAGTGGCTCCCTGCGGTGCCTGAGACCTTCCACTTCTATAAGAGTTTGGAAGTCCTAAGGAGAGCTGGAAATTCTCTAGTTCACCTCCCTCCATATAGAGATGAGAAAAATAAAGCCCAGAGACGTTAAGCAACTCTGCCAAGGGCAAACAGCCTAGCTCAGAACTTTACAAAGCAGGAACCCTGAAATAATAGTCTCACAGATGATCCTTGAAGAGAAATTGTTTAAAGGTTCTGAGATCAGGTTTAAAGGTTCTGAATCAGCTACATTCTCTATTCTCTCTCTCTTTTTTATTATGTTATGTTAATCACCATACATCACATCATTAGTTTTTTCTCTATTCTCTTGTCTAGTCCACTCATTCTCTATTCAGCAAATAGTACTCAGTCTCGAAAAGCGGAACGCACTTTAGAGATCTGGTCTAGCCTGGCAAAGCTGAAACCAGTCTGTGGGTATGCAGACCTTGCGAGCACAACACACACAGCTACCTCGGGCAAAAGGGCTGTGCCTTGACAGCTATTCCCGGTGCTTTGTTAAAATGGCAATGTTCCAGGGAGAGACATAGCTGACCAGCGTCGCCAATAACTTTTAGTGTGCTTCATTTGTCCGAGGCTTTTCGAAGTGAGAGCACTTGCCCTCCTAAGGCCAAACACTTGCCCTAAGCTAAGCCTGAGCCAGAGGCTGCTGCCTGGAGAAAGTTCGGCCCCGCGAGGAGGCTAGAAATTAAATGGGGAAACCTGGAGACCCTGGCTCCTCTGGAAAGGAGAAGTCAGAAAGAGGGAGAAAAGAAAAGGTGGAAAGTGGGCAAAATCACTCCATAAGCTTTGGCGGACCAGTGATCAGCTTTCACCAGAAGGAAACAGATGACAAACCCAGCCCACTGGGAAAGCAGCCTCCCCACCCCCGCCCCCGCCAAGCCACACCCCCTACTCGCGGCCCCTCCCCCCCCACCCGGGAGAAGCCATCACTCCGGAAATTAATTCCTCCCCCATAGCCTTCACGGGCCGCATTCCTCTCCCAGGCAATCACCTAAGATCTAGCAAGGAACTTTTTTTTTTTAATTATAAGGAAAGGGTGGCTCCCCTATCAATAAAATGCTGCTTCAATGAGTACAACTACCCTTTGGGTCATTATTTTAAGTGTTTGAAATTTCTACTTAAATAAGGTCACTTTCAATTTGGTAAATACTCCTAAGTCATCATCTTAATTCACGGCCAGTCACCCTAGGAATGCTGAGTAAGTAAACATAATCAAGCATTAGCTAACCAGCCACAAATCCACTTGAGTTTATTAATTTCTGTCTTGGCAGAGAAGCAAGAGAAGGGAACAAACCATCAGAGACATTCACGCATCATTCATTCAATAAATATTTATTACATACCAGGTGCCAGGTACTGTGCTAAGCTAAATATAGGTTGCATTATTTTATTAATAGTCACAGCTAAGTTCTATATCAAATCCCATTTTCCCCCAAATATAAATCTTAATTCCTGAGGTGCTTTTTCTTCATTTCTGCCTAATGTGCCTTCTTCCATGGAGTAAATGATACATCCTAACTCTTAAGCTTCCAGACTCTCTATCCCTCCCCCCAAAGACCCCCCCTCCCATCATCCCTCAAATAGTTAATGAATATAAACTCCCACTAGAGCTCTAGAGAGGCACTCACTATTTTAAAAGTCTAGAAGAATAGTAATGGTAAGAAATAGTTCATATCATTGCACTCGGATTTTTTTTATACATTTGGGTTTTGGTTGAGGGGAGTACCTTATACTTACTCTAAAGGCTTTTTAAAATACTAGCACACATATATATTCCAAATGCAGACAGAGCTGTAGGCAGGCTAGGAAAGCAATCTGAAGAGGACCACCTTATCAGAGGAATTCCCTTTCCTCATTTCAAAGGAGGCTCCCCTTTCCCATACTCTCCCAACACCACCAAAAACTGGCACCTGTCCAAATTCATTTACAAAGGAAAGGACCCACTCGGAGAACTGACCTTAAAACAAGTCGCTTTGCTCATCAGTAAAGAAGCTACTTCCAAGGTCCCTCTATAGCCTGTGGATTAGGGGATCCAAGCTAACCTAATCCTCCACTACACCTCTTAGGGACCTGGTACACACACACACACACACACACACACACACACACACACACACGAACCCCAGCACAGCCCCCCAGCCCCACACTGCAGGCCCTGATTCCCCCAGGGACAGCCAGCTTACCGAGATACACAAAACACCCCCACACCACCCAGAAGGGGAGAGAGGCAGGACTCTCCCTCCCTCAGCCAGGCAGTCTCCTGAGGCTGCTGACATCACAAAGGTGTCAACTGGCAAGCTCATTGTCATGTGGCTCTCCCCTGGCTCCCCTTCACTTGCAAACGCAGGGAAAGGGTGAGACCTTTCAAAGCCGCCAAGCGGGCAAGCTTCCAGCAGCAGTCTGGGAGTGAGCGGGCGGCCGAGCCACCAAGCCGGGCGGCGGGGCATTGGGCCTCGCGTTTCAACTTCTTCTCAGTTCTCCTGTAATGGAAAATTGCTTTGCACAAAGCTAGAGTGTTACAGTTCTTTCCAGCGCCACTCCTCCCCCACCCCGCCCCTCGGCAGCCTTCCGATCAGAGGGACAGCGCCCGCAGGAAGGTGGAAGGAGGGTAGTTGTGGCTTCTTACTATGTCCCTTGCTTCAGGCCCTGGGCCCGGGTGGTTACTCTTTTCCTTTGGAATGGGACTGGTCTCGGGGTCAAAGTGTCCAAATAACTGTCAGTGTCAAGCCCAGGAAGTGATCTGCACAGGGATCCAGTTAGCCGAGTACCCCCCTGATGTACCCCTGAGCACTCGGAGGCTATACTTGAATGATAACCGCATCACCTTTTTGCCAGCGATGAATCTAGGACTCCTCAGTGACCTTGTTTACTTGGACTGTCGGAATAACCTGATTCGCGAGGTGATGGATTATACCTTCATCGGGGTCTTCAAACTCATCTACCTTGATCTCAGCTCCAACAACCTAACCTTGATCTCCCCATACAGTTTCTCCATGCTCAGCAACCTGGTGCAGCTGAACATCTCCAACAACCCTCACCTGTTCTCTCTGAACAAGTACACCTTTGCCAACACCAGCTCTCTAAGGTACCTGGACCTCAGAAACACCGGCTTGCAGACCTTGGACAATGCTGCCTTCCAAAACCTCCTAACACTACAGACCCTGTATCTGAGTGGAAACCCATGGAAATGCAACTGCTCCTTCCTGGACTTCACCATCTACTTAATAGTGTCCCATCTGAACCATCCAGGTGAGGGTCTGATTGCGTGTGGGGACAAGGAGGATGTGATGGAGCCGGAGGAATGGGTTCCAGAAAAGGTAAAGTCAAAAGATGGTCAGGATGGGAGAAAACTCTGGGGGAAGCTGATCGAAAGCATTCTTATTGCGCTGCAGGATCC